TATACACCTATTAATATATATATTATTTACTTATAAAAAACTGAACCATTCAAAATATTATTTAAATATTTTTATATTATTAAGATAGTTCTTCGTATATAAAAAAAAAAAAAAATCAATTGAGACTGAAGATATTGTTAACTTTTGTACTTCTACCCTTATATTTTATTTTCAAATATATAAATAATTAAAAAATAGACAGAAAAAAAAAAGGCACAGACATATCACTGTAAGTATTTTTATTTATATATCTACGGTGCAGTAATTAATTGTAAAATATATTTCCAAAAGTAATAAATTGAGCTTAGTAAATGTACTGAAGTATTAATATTTAAATTTTTTAGATTCCAAAAGAATATCCAGTTTATTATAAAAAATAACTGACCAATTGACTTTTCTTTAAAAATAATAAAATGTAAATAAATAAATGTTTTATTACTATCTTATGCTCAGTTCTGAGTATTTATAAGTTATTAATTCATTTAATATTATTAAGTACATAAATTTGAAAAAATGAATTATTGCTTGAAGTGGGTCAGAGCTTCTGTACATTTGCCTTATTATACTACTACAATATTAATTATATATATATATAATTATCAAATAATATTCCCTCCGTCCCACGTACCGTGTCTACTACACTGTAGACACGATATTTTAGCAGGGATGTAATTAGTAGATAATTAAGAATGTATTAGTGAAAATAATTATCCGATAATATAAATGATTATAAATTAAAATTAAGATAACTAATGAGTTTAATTAAAATTTAAAAAAAATAAAATTAAAAAGTTTAAAATGAGATTAAAGTGTGTAATCATTTTCCAAAAAAGGAAAGTGACATGGTATGTGGGACGGACATAAACGGCAACGTGGACATGGTACGTGGGAGAGAGGGAGTATTAAATTTATTTGAAATATAATAAAATAATTTTGTTTTGAAATTCAACACTTTCATCAATGGTAATGAAGTTTTGGTAGATTCAATTATTTCTTCTCATCCATTTGGGTATAATAATAATAATAGTAATAATAATAATAATATGATGAAAGATGATGAAAAAGAACAAAAATAATTGATTAATCTTTATTTTCTAAATTGTTATAATTTCATATATATTGTTGTCATTCAAAATATAAAATTCAATAAAATTTTAATATAATTCATCATTTTATTTCTTAAAAATGATGTAAAAAGACATTGTTTATTTTAATTAAATTATTCATTATACAAAGTAAATAATACTATTTATATACTATGATATAAATTTATATAAAATTGTAAAAGAATGTTTATTATGGTCAAATTAATGAGTTACAATGGATTTTATTTTTTCTATAATTATAATATAATTGACAATTTAAAGTTTCATGAGCATATAGTTTTTTTTTTTTATTTACAATAACATATATATTATTTTTATATAAAAATATCATACTTGGTTTCTTTAACAAAATAAATTTCAATATATTTTTCTAAAAAACTATTATACTACACGCTCGTTATTTTTATATTATTTACACAATATTTTATATCTTACATAAAAAAAAAATCAAATCAAATCAAAACACAAAAAAAAAAAAAAAAAAACCTTTGGTAAAAAAGAATATATTGATAATATGTAGAAAGTATAAGTAGGATATTATTTTGCCCTTGTAAACATATTTTTATTGAAGTGTAAAAAATAGTAATATATGTGTAATAGTAGTAAATAAGTAAAAATAGTTTTACGATGATATATTATTTATAAAAATAATACTACTTCCTCCGTTTCAGAACTATAGTTTGTGCTGTTACTAACACAAGATTTAAAGAATATAATATTATATTGGTAGTGGATAAAAAATATGGGTAAATTTTTTTTTTTGCCCTTTATGAGTGTATTAATGTAAAAAGTAGTGACAATTGTTTAATAATCATGAAGAAATAAGGGTAGTTTTATAGTGATATGATTATTTATGAAAATAAGACTATTATTTTAAGATGAACAAAAATAGTAAACAAGACTATTGTATTAAGACAGATAGAGTATTATTTACTATTTATTTTAAGATGAAGATCAATGATAAAATATAATTATTGAATTGAGACGGAGATAATATCACTTAAATGAACAAAATTTTCTTTTTTTTTAATGTTTCGTTAAAATTTAATACTCATGCTCCCACTTTATAAATATATATTTATATTTTACATATAATTTAATAAATAATACTCTCTCCGTCCCTTTTGAAATGGTCAATTTGAGATTTTGTAGTAAATTTTAAAAAAATAATAATATCGTAGTGATTAATGGAATGTGTACGAGGTTTTGATATTTTTGTCATTTGATTTTATATAAGTAATTGTATGTATAATAGTATAATTGTAATTTTAAATTAAAGTTAAAAGTATTTTGGTATTAATATATGATTACTTTTATAAAAAATGGAAGAAAATAATTTTGAATGAGACGGACGAAAATAATAAAAAAACTATTTTGAATTGAAATGGAAATAATATTATATTTAAAATATAGTTGGTGATAGTTTTGTATATAACTACTCCCTCCGTCACGTAAATGTGTGTTCTTTTGACCGGATACGGATATTAATAAGAATGAATAATAACTATTAATTTTTTCTTTTATAGTAAAAAATAGTACAAAAGTGGAATGATTTTTTTACTTAAAAAAATGATAATATTTTTCGATGACAATCGAAAAAAGAAAAGTGAGCATAGATTTGAATGACGAGGGTAATACTATTTTATTTGTATATTATGTAAAATTATTGTGAATACATTAATGTAAATAAATATAAATGTGAATATATTTGTGATATGCAATGGACTCCAAACTTATTAAAAATAAAAATAGATTGTTTTGTTTAGATAATAAAAAATAATAACATATACTTACGAAATGGATAGAGCGAATATATTTTATAAAAAACACTTCCTCCCATTTCTATAATGCTCATTCATAAATATTTTTATCTATATTTAAAATTTGATATTTTTTATAAAATTAATTTGATGTCAATTCTAAATAAATTATCAAATAAAGATATATATCATTTATTTTTTGCACGCTGATTTTTTAGTATTAATATTAAATTACTTTGAAGTAAAAAAAAAAGAGACACAAATGCCTCTATTAGTATAATATAATATAAAAGTAACGTCTTTTGTGTAATATATTGTAATTTATAAAAATATTTATTATGTTAGATAAATAGACAATTATTAAATTATGACATAGTATACTTCTTTTGGTACGGACAAAAATATAAAATGATATCCATCTTAGGAGACGAATGAAGTATATGAAATTTTATTTTTTATGAAATTGTGTTCAAATTAGATATTATATTATTGAGATATAATATTTAAATATTTAAATATATATTCTAAACTACTTTTAGTAATATATTTAAATTTTATTATAAAAATACTAACAATACCATTGACATAATAAATAATAAAATAATAGTTCATCCATCTTTTTGTCAATTTTTCAATTTCCGTCTATCTCACATATTTTATTAATTTTTTTAAAGAATTATACAATTTAATTTCATTTTAATTTATATTTTTTTAAATTTTAATTAGACCAGTTAGTTATCTTAATTTTAATTTAAAATTATTTTTATTATACTATAATTTTTTAGTAATACTTTCTTACTTATTTATTGATTATGCATTTACTAAATTATTGTGTTTATTGCGTTCTTTTGTAAGTTTTATCACATATTTTTATTATTTAATTTTATTTTTTATCAAAAAATATCATATCAAATAATTATTTTTTTAAATTATATTACAAATTTATTTTATATTAAATAATTATTCAAATTCAATTTTTTTACTATTAAAGATCCCAACCTAAACCGAAGAACAAACACACCCTACAATTTTATTTAAATGATTATTTATATAATAATAAAAACATACTGATAATTTTTAGAAATCAAATAAAATTACAATTATTCATCATGTACGGTGCAGGTAACGAACACAGAGATTGTTCCTTACGACGGAGTAATCCGGGAGCTCACAGTCCTCCACCAAATCGACGGCGGAGATGCATCTGGCGTCCAAGTCCAAGGACCTTCAATGAATCCACAATACGCAAGCAAATCTTCAAATTATGTAAATTTTCCAAATACTGGAAAAACTAAAAGAATAAAAAATAGTAAAAAACAGAAATTAACACTATCCTTCACAGTGAAAAGTAATTTTATTTTTTAATTTTTACGCTTCCAATGGCTTCTTCCCTTTCCCAATGCCACCGCAGCAGCAGCAGTCACGTGCGCGCTGCCGTACCGCCGCCGTGCCACCGCCGACCGGCGTCGTACACGCCACCAACGCAGCTGCGCAATTGCGCGAGTCGAGTCGACCACCGACCGACAGCGACAGAGCTCTTACTTTAACGTCTCAACTTTGTAGCAATAGTGGAGAGAATTGCTGCCATGCCGTGCTATGCCCCACACACGTATGTCCTCCGTTTGCAGCCTTTTCGCACCTCCGCAGGCCGCGGCCCCCACCGCCGACCGCCGATCAATCGAAGCTAGGGTTTCGCCATCGGTAATTTCTCAATTTCTAGGTTAAACCAAAAAATTTGGGGAAAATCAATTTAATAGATTCTGATGAAATTAATCACTCAGATAATCGTTTCTACACGATGCATACATCATTTGTTGATCAATTTGTTTCAATTTCTAGGTTAAAAAAAAATTGGAGAAAAACTGATTACCGTGATTCTGAAGAAATTAATCACTTGGATAATCAATTCACGATGCATAAATAATTTGTTGATTCATATGTCATAGCTCATTCTCTTCGTTCGATCGATTTCAATTTGTGAGACAGTACGTAGTACAGTTGTTGAGAGAGGCAACAAAACCATTAACGTTCTGTCAAAATTGGCGATAGTTGTTGCGTAGCAGAGACTAGAGACAGTTGGGTAGGGGGGTGGGGGTGGGGGTGGGGTGGGTGGTTAGCGGGGGTATGGACCCCCTGCGTAAATTATCCCCAGAGTCAGAGCTGCTGCAATTGCTGCTGCTTCTGCAGCTGCTCAGTAATTATTTTTCCTCTGCCTGCCTTGTTTTCTTTCCCTCTCTTGTAACTTTTCGTTTTCCATTCCCATACCTAACTGCATTTCCTCTCTCTCCCTGTTTCCTCTCTCCTCTGTTTCTCTCTCTAAAAAAACCTTTTCAACTTCTTCACTAGATTGATTAAATATTAGCATTGTTCAGTGCAGTTTCTTGTTTCTTCACCCCTTCTTCTGTATCTGTGTTTAATTTTTTTGTTTATAGTTATGAAATTAGATTTAAGATTTTAAGAAACAAAAATGGCAGCTGGGTTGGGAGGCAATGGCTCAGCGCCGCCGTCGCTGCCGCCGCCGCGGCCAAAGTCGCCGCCGCAGTACCCTGATTTGTACGGCAAGCGGCGGGAATCTGCCAAAGTTCAGATGCTGGAGAGGGAAATTGGTTTCCTTGAGGTGAGTTCTCGTGGTTAATCATTGTACTGTAGATATAGGTGAAGCCATTAAAGCTCTCCTGGTGGTAACAATGGCGGATTTGTGGTTTAATTCTTGTGAAATTGGACTTTATATTCCCCATTTTAGGCTTTCCATGTCCATTTCTTGGAAATCTCAGATTGGATTTCTATGATCTCGCATTATTCTTCTTGTGTTCTTTGGTGTGCTTTGGGTTTTGTTTGTGGTTGCTGACTGTTGATTTCTTGTTACCAATTTTAGTAATTTTGGTGGGTAGGTGTTTTGGGTAGGGCAGGGGGGGTGGCTTCACTTGGGGCCGCCTATTTTATAGCATAGTGATGATGATCCCAATTCGTTAGGTTTATTTATTGGAAAACAGAGTCTATTCATTATAAAGATGATTTTTTTTTAAATTTTTATAGTTAATTTGGGATATCAGAATTCTACGGTAAATAAATTGGAAAAAATGTTAAAGTAGATATAGCATAAGTGTTTACTTTTTGATAAAAGTTTGGGCTTTGGACCACTTACTAAGATCTTCTTCAAAGAATCAGTTTGGTTGCCCGTTGAAGACACTAAAGGGTGTGTTTACTTGTTCTTTATCGTTTTGAATTTGAATTTTTTGGTTGTATAAAGTTTAGGAATTGAAAATGATGTTTTAAATGCCCCGAATAAAGACTATTTAGTGTAGATTGAATGTGTTTTAGGGTGTGTTTCTTTGGGTTTGAATTGTGAATTTATTTATTTATGTTTTTTTGTATTTAAATAATATTTGATTTTTTTTTTTAATTTTTTTTTTTTGTGAATTGTGAATTTATTTTTTTATGTTTTTTTTGTATTTTAGGGTGTGTTTCTTTGGGTTTTGAGTTGGGATTTGAATAGTAAAAATTTTGAATTTGAATAGTTGTAGATTGATATAAATAGGTAATGATGTGATGTTTTGAATGTAAAATTGATTTTTAGTATAATATAAAAAAAAAAATAGGTGTTTGATTCGATGTTTTTGGAGGGAAAAAATTGGATGAATAGTGGCAAAAAAGTCCAATCCCCCTAACAAACACACCCTTGATAAACTTTTGCCAAAGAAACACACCTAAAAGAAATATTTTTTTGATGTTATTTTATTTTATGTTTTTTAGTAGCAAAAGGTTAAGTTGACGAAGAGTGTCATAAAGAGATTTAAAAATGTACGTGATTTGGGTAATAGAAGTTAGGCAACTCTTGGAATTTTCGAGTAATCAGAGATTTGGATGCTGCTTGGCGTGGTGTCTCGGGCACTTTGTTGCTAGAAAAATATATTCTCGAATCAAAGTTAGGCAACTCTTGAAAAATATATTCTTGAACCGAATATTTGTTGCTAGAAAAATATATTCTTGAATCGAAGTTTGGCGACTCTTGAAAAATATGATCTTGAACCGAATATTTGTTGCTAGAAATTTAATTGGATGCCGTTGGTGTGGTGTGTTGGGCTCTTTGCTCCATGCCATAACTAAATTTGACTTTTCGATGATGTATTTGTTCCTGTGAAGGCAGTTCTACCTAACTAACTTTGAACCGTCGATATTTAATGCAAGTTTGTTTGAAAAGATTCCATGGCGTAATTCTTCGCTAGTACGTTTGTTAATAATAAAGTCGTTCTAGCTGGTAGATTCACTGTTAAATTAATTTACTCGTCGACTGCTGCATTGGACATGCGAACTTACAGATATATTGATCGGAAATTTCGTATAAGCAGGACGAATTAAAGTCGTTAGAGGGGCTTCACCCGGCTTCGAGATCTTGTAAAGAGTAAGTTTCATATTTCCTGATTGCAAAATTATCGGGATATTGTTATGGCTCCCCAAATTAAACGAATTTCTTTCTAACTTCAAGAAGTGTAAATCCTTTGTTTCGCGCAGGGTTGTGGATTTTGTGACGGCGAACGCCGATCCTCTCATACCCACGTAAGAAACGAAAAAAATCGATTTTCATCCATACATCTCAATGACTCAATGCATACATTTTAAACTATCGTTTACGATATTGTATTATTTTGTCCTCTGAATGCAGAACCAAGAAGACACGCAAATCCTGCCGCTTCTGGAAACGGTTATGGTATTTTCTGTTTAACTAACTCCCGACTTTAATTTACGCCACATTTCCGAATACTTAGGTTCGATATGGCTCGTTTAGGATTCGAGCTAAAATAATTGCTCGGCCTAGCTCGTTAGGCTCGACTTTATGGTCGAACTCGAATTTTAATCATATAGTATGTTTTTTAAATATATAAATTAAATATATTTAATTTGATTCACAATTATTTTATATAAAAAATTATATCTATTATATTAATTTTTTTAAATTGATTTATAACTAGCTCAATCAGTAGCTCGTTGTCGTCGATGAACTAACCTAATCTCATTACTCGAACGATTTTCTCGATTGCAGCAACCGGGTTTCTTGCTTCAACCTCTCGTGGCTATGCTGCTGCGCGCCGTGTCCATCGCACTGCTGCAGCTGCAACTGCAACTGCTGCGGCGGCGGCGGCAATTGCACCCGGGTCTGCGAAACGTGTCGATGCAGCGGCGACTGGGTGTGCTGCAGAATGCCGAATTGCTCGTGCTTCTCCTCCTGCCGGAACTGCGGATGCCTTAGCACGCCGGAATGCCTGTCCTCGTCGTCGTCCTGCCTCGGCGTTTGCCGGCGGCCGCCGTGTTCCTGGAAGAGGTGGTGTACATGCTTTTATTGTCTTCCTAAATGTCTAAAATTTAGTTTTGGTAATATATTGTGTTGTGGTAGTAATAGTATGTGTTGCTATCCTTGCTACTATTGTTATTAGGTTTTATTTATTTTATTTTATTTTATAAATATAAATTTACTTGTGTGTGGGTATTTTTTTGACCTCTTTTGTTTTGCTGTTTTTCTTTTCTTTCTTCATGTAATTATTATTATTGTTATTATTATTGGGAAGTCAAAATTATCGAAATATATTTGTTGAGTGTAATGTATTTGTTCGTTGCTTCGTAGAGGTGAAAAAAAAAAATTGATATATGTAAAATAATTTAAATAAAAGTTTCTTTCTTAGTTTAGTAAAGTAATTATACATTAATACGTTAACATATTTTTTATTTTTATTTAAACTATCAATATGCTATTAAAAATACAATTATTTTATACATAAACTCAAAATATTTTATTAATTAATGGATATATGTATGATAGGGATGTCAAATGGGGCTGGTTAGCCCCTGACCTGCTCTTAATGGGACGGGTTCGGGTCTAAATAATATGTTTCGGGGTGGGCTGTGGATTTAAAATTTTAAACCCGGCCTGGTTCAGGGCGGAGCGGGTCTTGGGGCCGAGTGGAAGCAGGGTGGGACGGGTCTCGGGGCCTAATATTTTCTAGCGAGACGGGTTTCGGAGCCTGCAGAACCCGTCCTGAACCTGCCCCATTGACATCCCTACTGTAAGATATATATATATCTCTATTTTTTATGCGTAATAATATAACTCTGTGTTATGTTCGTATTAGAGTAATTATTTTGACAATAGTAAAAGATGATATTTTTGAGCGGACAAATAAGAATAATAAAAGTTATACTTTCTTGTGACAGGTATATCTTGGATTGGTGATTATTTTTTATTTTTCTGATTTAAATGTGATATAATATGCTATATATTTTCAATAGTATTTAAATTTAAATCTATTTTGATTTTTTTAAATGCAGACTGGGCCTAGCACATCCCATTTTCTAAAAGTCCAGGCAAGGCACAATTTATAACTGGCCTGGGCCAACTTCTTTTTCAATCTATTTAAAAGCCCAAGTCTGACTGTGTTTACCTATAAATTTTTGCAGTTTAGAAGATTTTAAATTTTTTTAAATATTAGAAATTTGAGAATTTTATGTGACATTTCTTAATATATATATATACGTAATTTTATAAAGTTACTACTAATAAAGAAATACCAAAGAATTTTTATGGGCGTAGATAAACGATGTCTAATCTTAACAAGCAATTATGCCCATAACAGAACAAAACCATAAATCTCAATGCTAATACTGATTTGATCCGATTAATAATAAAAATATAAATATAAATTTTGTATACTATAATATATTTTTATAACACATTATATATTGAATGACTTTGCACATTATATAATTATATATAACAAATATATATTAAAATTTCAGTACAATAATAATTTAATCTAATATGTAAATATTTATATATATAAAAAAAGAGGTATCAAATATTAATATAATATATAGCAATACAATAAAAGTTATATGCTTTGTGATCAGGGTCGATTATGAGCTCAAATATAAATAGGGGTTGTATTTTGTATATGTATTCCCTCCGTTATTTAAATTTATATTCACTTTCTTTTTAAAATTGTCATAAAAAAATATTTTCGTTTTTTTTTTAAAGTAAAAAATGATTATATTTTTGCATTTTTTTGTACTATAAAAAATAATAATAATTATTACTCATTTTTATTAAAATTCATGTCTGATCAAATGAGCACACATCTGCATGATCGAAGGAGTATAATTTATATATATAATTTATTTGATATGTGCAAATATAAAGAAATGTAATCTGATAATTGTGTAGCAATAATTAATGAATAATTAAAGCAGATTACGCACGTAAAAAATGTCTAAATATAGCAATTCAGAAAACTATGCCATGTGACTATATGCTGACTTTCCGTGTCTTCCCAAACCAATTTTACACTATTCACGCCATTTTAGAGTGTTTTATTTTTTTATATTCCCTTCCTCTCATAAATAAATATTCATTTATTTTTTTCACATAATTTTAGAAATATTAATATTATATTAATAGAAATGACTAGAATAATCTTATTAGTATGTGTGATATAAAAGTAATGACGATAGTACAGTTGCTAAAAAAAAAAAAAAATGAATACTTTTTTATAAGACGGAGGGAATATTTGTATCAAAACTATTGTTCATAAAATTCAGGTCATCGGGTGTTTGAACCTATGACCTCACGCTCACAAATCCAACCATTACACCACCAGGTCATCCCTTACAGAACTTATGCTATATATTGTTAATACATGTGATGTATTTGTACTATATGTGTTAATATCATGTGCTACTCCCTCCGTTTCATATTTATATATCAATTTGCTTTTTGCACGGAATTTTAGAAATATTAGTATTATATTAGGATAAATTAGCAATAAAAGTAAAAGGACTAAATTAACCCTATTATTATTATATGATATAAAGGTAATGACATTTGTGTAATATATTATAAATTGGAAGGGCATTTGTAATGTTAAATAGATAGTACAATTACTTAAAAAAAAATATACTGAATATTTTGTTATGGGACAGACCAAAATAAAAAAATTTGATAGATTATTAAAGAAATTATTTATTAGCACCCTGCCCGCTATTCAACATAATACTGAATAAGAGAAAATGAAAAAAGATTTGGATTGAGTGGAAATCTTAAAAGAAATGTTGTTAATTTGCTTAGCTGATCGGTTGTACAAAATTTATTTTTATAGATAATTATAAAAATTAAATAGTACTAAAAAAAATTATAAACATATTATGTGATTTTTCATTTTTTATTTGTCTTAATTCATCTATGTATAATAGAAAAACAAAAACAAAGACTTTTTTTTCAATTTTAAATTTTCTAACATAAACAAACAAGATGAAAATAGATATTTTTATTTATATATCTTCAATTGTTGTACCGAATTAAGTCCTCAAAGTTTTAATAAAATAAAAATTTTGAACTAAAATAATATTTTTAATATATAATTTTTAATTTTTATTCATAAATTAAATAAGAAAACAAATATTAAATTTAATAAATTTAAAATAATAAATAAATAAATAGAACCACATCAAAATAGATAAATTTATGTTAACTATCAACTATCATGGACCACATCTAAAAAAACCAACTTCAAATCTATTTCAAATTTTAGGGAAAAAAAATAAAAACTAATCTTGTTGAAATAAAAAATAAATTTAAAAAAATTGTCAATTTTAATTTTACTTATTTTTTCTTTCACTATTGAAAAACTAAGAAAAAAAATATTTAAAAAAATAAATATAACATCAGATTTGAACTGAACACGAGTAAACAAGAATCAATATATAGATCCATGACATTTTTAATTTTTTGAAAATAATAATAATAATAATAAAGCAAGCTCTAAATTTGTATTATCCCGTTTAGATCTAAAAACCTTGGTAAAACAAAACAAACAACCACCAGCATTTCACATAAACGCTTTAACCCAAATTTCACTACACTTTACCATTACGCCCACGAAAACGCAACAGGACTCCTCACCTGATGCTCCCCATTACTCCAAACAATCGACCCAAACGCCCGCCGGCTTTCCGGCGGCGCCGCCGCCGCCGCCGCCGGGCGGCGGCTACCTGACACAAAGGTCACTGTAAACCTCCGTTTATCGCCGACATTTCCAAAAACGAGCGTCGACGGCCTCATGGTCACAGCCACGCCTGGAGGCGTCTCGACCGAGACATTGTAAACTGATTTAACGGCCTCGACGTTCGTCAATTCCCGCGAGTATCGCACCACGCGCGACGACCTCGGGAATACGACAGAGAACGACGGGTAGTTCAGCTGCCCGGGGCTGCGGAGGCGCGGCCGCGGGCAGGTGACATTGTGGCGTCGGGAGATTAGGCGGATTGTGCGGAGGTTGTAGTCTAATGAGCAAAGGAACGCGACGTAATCCTCCGGCGTGGCGTCGTAGACAAGGCCGGGGTTTACGGCACGGTGGGGGTCGACGTGGCCGGCTCCATGCACCCACGGAGTCGACACAGAATTGTCGGCGGCGTCGCGGAGCGGCGCGCCACTGACGTCGTGGGTGTAGGCGGTCGTCATTAGCGCCGATTTTATCGCACTCGGGCTCCAATTCGGGTGTGCAGCCTTGAGTAATGCGGCGAGCCCGCTTATGTGCGGGCACGACATCGACGTTCCTACAATTCGATAACAGTTAGATTTCTCGGAATTTGAATTTGAATTTGAATTTGGGAGGGCTTACCGGAGATGATATTGAACGGCGAGATTCGGGTGTCCTTAGAGAGGCCGGAGGGGCCGACCGACTGCGACCATGACGCTAATATGTTAACGCCGGGACCGATGACGTCAGGTTTGAGGATCTCCGGCGTGACTGTGTTTGGACCTCGGGAGCTGAACGCCGCCACCACCGGCGACGGTTTTACGTTTACGACGGTTCCGGCGAAGGTCAGGGCGGCTTTCGGAGAGCGGTTTGTGGCGACGTATTTCCGGAGAATGTCGCCCACTTTTCTCCCGACGGCCATCGCCGGCAAGAGGTGGCTGTCGGCGACTAACTCCTCGCCGTTCTCCGCCGTGTTCGCGAGTATCATTGCGACGCCTCCGGCGTCGCGCACGACGGCGCCTTTCTCGACGCGAGAGTTGATTCCTCTGTCGCAGAGGACTACCTTGCCGCGGACGGCGGCGGCGCCGAGTGTTCCGGCTAGGCAGAAGTTGCTGGAATTGGTACTGGTTTTAGGGTAGACTAATCTTATTGGCTTCGTTCCCATACCTTTTCCGCTGTACAGTGAAACTCCGGCGAATCTCCGGCCGTTGCCTAAGGTTGCGAAGGCAGGGAAGTCCCGGTCGATCGTGCCGGCGCCGACGGTCATGATCCATGGAGCGACGTTCGAGATCGATTCCTTCGCAGGTCCGCTGTTTCCAGCCGAGCACGAGACGAAAATTCCTCTCTCCATGGCGGCGAAAGCTCCGACGGCGATGGTGTCGCGGAAGTACGGCGCAGATCCGCCGCCGAGAGACATGGACAAGACGTCGACGCCGTCGAGAATAGCGCGATCCATGGCGGCGAGGATATCAGATCCGAGGCAACCTGAAGTCCAGCAAACTCTATAAGCAGCTAATCTAGCGCGCGGCGCCATTCCGCGTGCGATACCTCCGGCGTAGCCGAAGAGGCTGGCGTTCGCCACCGGAGAGCCGGCGGCGGTGCTCGCCGTGTGCGTGCCATGGCCTTCGTGGTCGCGAGGCGATTCGATCTCTTTACCTCCAGATTCAGACGCAGCAACGTTGTATCCTTTGGAGAAGAATCTCGCACCGATTAGCTTCCTGTTGCAGTGGATCTTCGGATCGAAATCTCCGGCGGCTTCGCACTCCCCCCGCCACCGCGCCGGAACCTCCGGCATGTTCAAATCGCTAAACGATTTCGATTCCGGCCAAATTCCTGTATCCAAAACTCCAATTATAACATCCTGAGAAGCCTGATTCAGCTCCTCGAGTCCATGCCTTCCCCAGGCTCCGATTCCACCGTCAAGCCCTAAGAACTCCGGCGACCTAGTAGTGTGAAGGCTATACATTGTATCCTCATACACACCGAGGACAGAATCCGTTCGACGGAGAGATTCAACCTCCGCCGCCGTCAGAGCGGCGGCGAAGCCATTGTACGCCGCCTCATAGGTGTAAACAAGCGATTCGTCGGCGGCGGAGCTCACGAACTTCAAGTTATCGTAGTACCAGTCGCTCTGAGTAGCATAAGCCTCCGGCTTGCTCCGGTGATTCATGTGCACGATGTAAACCTTCTTCGCGGAAACTGAATCCAGACAACTCTGAACAGCCACCGCCACGGCGAGGACGGCGAGAATCGCACGGCGGACCTCCATAGAAGGTGCAGGAGGAAGTTACAGAGTACAAAATGGGACAGTGGAGACTGTCAGAGGATAGAAGGGGAAAAGAGGCGGAGATGGTGGTTGTTATAAACGTGACCGCCTTAACTTTCAACCCTCAGAGTTCCTATTTATTACGAAACTGCCACCACCACGCCAACGGTCCGCAAGGCGGTTTATTTATTAGTATATTAATTTATTTTGAATATATATATATCTTAAATAAATTTAATATTAAATGCTAAAAAGCGCATTTGTTCGAGGACAAATATTATCAACTAATGACAGTCATTAACAGTTATTAATTATTATTATTAGTACTAATTATTCCTTATCAATTGCCTACTTCAAATTTCTACGTACAAGCGAAAAGTAATTAATTTGGTGTGTTTTTTAGAATGTTCTAATGACAAAAAAAAAAAAATTATCCATAACTCTCTCGTGTATTTTCGAAGTTCAAGATAAATATTTTTTGTACTTTAAAAATTGCACGTGACATTTTTATATTTTAAAAAATATGCATGAAATTCTACTGTAGTTTCGAAACTCAATCTGAGTCTCCACTTTACTTTAAAAAATTTTATGACATTCCCTTATACTTTTAAAATTATTGCATGAACTCTTGTCATGCAAAACACATAGATAGTATATCATCTTCTCATAAGACAATAGAGATTTCATAGTGATTTTCATACAACGTTTTTTAAAATGTAAAATGGTGTAACGCAATTTTTAAAGTATAAAAAGATTTTATACTAAATTTATCTCGTAGACATAATGGGGTCTGATTTTAAGGCTATGTTTGTTTGGATGATATATTTTGATTTTTATTCTTCATAATATATTTTTTTATATAAAAATATCAAATCAAGTAGTTAATTTTTTTTTACATATATATATATAATACTAAAAATTAATTTTACATTTAAAATAACATATAAATTTATATTTTATATCACATTAAATAACTATTTAAATTTAAATTTATATTGTTCAAATAAAAAACCCCAACCAAACACACCAACATAAGTTTTCTTATCGGATTTTTATTTCTCAAGCCCAACAAATTCGTTAAGTTGTCGGTTTGGTTTATATTGGAGGTTCTTTTGAATGAGCATATGAGATGTTTTAGTTAGTAGTATACTTCATTTGTCTCAATTTAAAGTATTTTTCTTTTTTTACTATTTTTGTGTGTTCAATTTAAACGTACTATTTTTTTTTATAAAAGTAATTATATATTAATATTAAAAAGATTTAATTTTTATTTCAATTATATTATTTTTTATATAAAGTCAAATGTCAAAACTTCTTACACTTTTATTAATTAATAAAATATTATTATTAATTAATTTACAAGAAAAATTTAAATACCCCATTTCAAATAGTATTCATTTTCTATTTTGATCTGTCTCACAATAAATATATTTTATTTTTTTTAGTAATTGTATTTTCTTCCAATATTACAAATATCACGATAATTTGCAATATATTACACAAATGTCATTACTTTTATATCACACAATACGATAAAATTATTTTAAATTTTTCTATTTTATGCATACTATATTATAATATAATACTAATATTCTTAAATTTTCGTACAAAAAATAAACGAATATATAGATAAATGACGAATTCAATATATTGAAGTAACCCGCTCTTAAAGTAAGATATACTCCCTATGTCCCATAACTAGATATTCATTTGTTTTTTTAGGTAGTTTTAGTATTATATTGGGATGTAGTAGGAATAAAATAGAAATGATTAAAATATTTTTATTAGTATGTGTCATATAAACGTAATAATATTTGTGTAATATATTTTCAAATTATAAGAGTATTTGTAATATAAAGTAGATAATACAGTTACTAAAAAAAATAAAATGAATACTTTATTATAAAATAAATTAAAATAAAAAAATAAATACTTTATTATAAGACAGAATAAATATAATAAAAATAAAAATAATATTTTTAATTAAAACGATTAAAATACTAATAAACCTTAAAATACTAATAATATGGTCAATAGAAATAATTGCAATATGGGTGTGGGTGTGTAATAAATAAATAAAAATAAATAATGAATAATGGGGAATGGGAGTGGGAGTGTGTGCATTTGAATATCTCAATGTAATAAAAGGACAATACCAACCTACTTTTCAACCTACCGAATTATTACTTACGCATCAATTCATCCAAAAAGTTTTTTTTTTTTTTTCTTTTTTTTTTTGTTATGGATATTTTAATTACAGTGGGTAATTAAAAGTAGTGTAATGACATTTTTGCCCTTATTTTTTAGTGTAAAAGTAATGATGTGATATAAAGTAGGGGTATTTGTGGAAAAAAGTAAGGTATTTAATGAAATATTTACTTTGTAATTGGACGTCCCAAAATAGAAACATGTATACTTTCTAGCTGGACGGAGGGAGTATTATATTAATAATTAATAAAAAGTATAAGTTTAAAGATTTTTTTGCCATTGTGAGTGTATTAGTGTAAAAAATAGTGATAATTGTATAATAATAATGATTAAATAATGATAGTTTTATAGTGATATGATTATTTATGGAAATGAAACTATTGTTTTGAGACGGACAAAAATGGTAAACAAGACTATTGTATTGAGATGGAGAGAGCATATAATAAAAAATAAAATAAAATAAAAATAATACCCTCCGTCTTATATAAAGAGTAACGTTTATTTTTTGCATGTAAATTTTTTAATATTAGTATTATATATTGAGTTGTAGTAAAAAAGACGAAAATACTCTTATTAGTATTGTGTAATATAAAAGTGATGACATATGTGTAATATATTGTAAGTTGAGAAGATAAATATTACGTTATGTACAATTAGTAAATTATGAAATAGTACCATTGTTTTGGACTGACGAAAATGAAAAATGTAACTCTTCTTATGAGACGGAGATAGTATTTTTATTTTTATATCGCAAATTTAATTTAATATTATTAAATTAAATATACATTCAAAAGTAGTTGTAATTCAAAATTATTCCCACTTCTCGACGCACTCAGATTTTAACAGTGATTCGCCTATTATAACTTACCTCGTCGTACTTAGCTTTCAAATGATTAGATTCGATTAAAAATTTAAAAATATTTTTCACATTTATTAAAAATATATATATATTATGTTTATATTTCCTTTGTAATTTACAAATAAAATGTAATTAAATTTGGCAAAAGACAGAGTATTTTTTATTTTTTTTATTTGGAATCATAAATTTAAATTAAATACAACTGTACGTAAAATAAAAAAATAAAAAAAATACATAAATAACAATAATAATAAAACTAAACAATAACAAATAAATCATTTGACTTATTGAGCATAATTTCAGCAGTTAATTTTGTACTCACTCTATCACGCGGAGTATTAAATATTAAAATAATGGCATAATGTATTAGGGTTAATTATTTGATGCAAAATGTTTTAATCATGACCTAGTTTTAAATTTTTTTATAAAAATATACTCCCTCCGTCCCAGATACCATATCCACGTTGCCGTTTCTGTCCGTCTCACATGTCATGTCACTTTTCCTTTTTGGAAAATGATTACACACTTTAATCTCATTTTAAATTTTTTAATTTATTTTTTTAATTTTAATTAAACTAATTAGTTATCTTAATCTTAATTTATAATTATTTATATTATAGGATAATTATTTTCACTAATACATTCTTAATTATCTACTAATTACACATCTCCTAAAATACCGTGTCTACAATGTAGCATACACGGTATGTAGGACGGAGGGAGTAATATTTTATTTCATATACTCTTATATGGTATGATTAATTATGTCATTTTGAAAAATAATACTCATTGACCTATATCTATTTATCTATTTACTTTTTATATGGAGTTTTAAAAATATTAGTATTATACTAAAATATAATATAAATAAAAGTAAAAATACTAAATTAACCTTATTAGTATTGTATGATAGAAATGTAATGACATTTGTGTAATATATTGTAAATTATGATGATATTTGTAATGATAAGTAGATAGTACAATTATTTGAAAATGAAAAGAATACTTTGTTTTAGGGGGGACTAAAATAAAAAAATAAATAGATTATTAAGAGACGAATAAAGTAAATAATAATGCTTTAATATAAAATATGGTAGATAAAAGTAAAATACGCATATTAGAAAAAATTTATTAAATAATTGATATAAAAGTAACACTAGATTCATAGCATAGAATCGATAACATCTATTTTTTGTACATAGATTTTTGAATATCGAAGAGGATAGGATGCTACCTATGCTCACATTTAAAATAATTAAAACTATATAATTATATTAATTATATTATTTAATAATATAAATTATAATAATTATTTTTTACCCTACTTATGCTGAAATTACAACATAGTGAATATTAGTATTATATTGATTTACAGTAAAAAAATACAAAAAATCTCATATTAGATTGTGTGATATAAAAATAATGATATTTGTGTAATATATTAAAAATTGTAAGAGTATTAAATTATTAATTATGTTAGATATGTAGTATAATTATTAAATAAGGAAATTATATCATTGTTTTGGGATGAACAAAAGTAAAAAATTGTATCATTCTTAAGGAAAGAATATTTGATTTATTTTAATAATTAAATACTCCCTCTGTCCACATACAAAGTAAACATTTATTTTTGGAGCGGTGTTTAAAAAATAATAATATTTTAATTATAATTGATAGTTAAAAGTAGTAAAATGACATTTTTACCCCTGTTTTTTGTATAAAAATAATGATATGATGTAAAGTATTGATATTTTAGAAAAAAAAAAATATTTAATAAAATATTTATTATTTATAATTGAAAAACCCAATATAAAAATATGTATACCGATGGAGTAACTATAAAATAATATTTTTTTTTATTATAATAATAAAAAAATAAATGGTATTGTGAACACAAGGAAAGCCTAATAGTATGATGATGGAATGTGTGTAGTGTTGTCAGTCGCGCATGCCTCTTTCCCCTATGTTTATGCCTCAATTTTAGGACACCAATAACCACTTTATATATAATACTAATCAATATGGATTTATAATACTCCATCGGTACTGAAACTAAATATCCATTTGCTTTTTGCACGTAGTTTTAGAAATATTAGTATTATATTAGGATATAGTAGGAATAAAATAAAAATGACTAAAATAACCTTATTAGTATGTGTGATATAAAGGTAATAGCATTTGTGTAATATATTGTAAGTTGTAAGAATATTTGTAATGTTAAGTAGATAGTACAGTTATTAAAAAAGAAATGGATACTCTGTTATGGAACGGACTAAAATGAAAAAATGAATACTTTCTTATGGGACAGAGGGAGTATGAAAAAATATTTTAAGTATTTTTGACAAAATAAAATAAAATACACCCATATAATAAATTGGATGTGTTATTTTGATTTAAACGAGAATATCATTTGTTTTTACCTATAAAATTTTAAATATTAATATATAGTTAAAAAGATAAAATTAGCTTTATTAATATTATGTAATATAAAAATAATATCATTTGTATAAATTATAAGAACATTTATTATATTAGATAAGTAATAAAATTATTAAATTATGAAACCACAATTTTATTTTGGGACAAAAGGACGAAGGATATGAAATATTGGAAAGTTGATAATAAAATAGCAAAGATAAATAAAAATAATAATAAATTAATTATTATTTGCTAAAATAAAATAAATGAAATTGTACGTAGATAAAATTGTTACATAAATATATATATATATTATGGCGGCGGTTATACTGTTGAATTTTAAATTCATGTGTCGAATAACATATCGTGTGCTATTTGACAACACATAATAATGAGTTACTCCATCCGTCCAGTCAGAAAGTATACATATTTCTATTTTGGGACGTCTAATTACAAAGTAACCATTTCATTAAATACCCTATTTTTTCCATAAATACCCTTACTTTACATCACATCATTACTTTTATACCAAAAAAATAAGGGCAAAAATGTCATTTTACTACTTTTACCTACCCACTATAATTAAAATACTATTATTCCTTAATCTCCGCCCCAAAAGTAATTGTATACTTTTAGCTTGGACCGAGGGAGTATTTGACAGCAATAATAATACTACAACAACAGACAATACACTATATATATTAATATAATACAAATAGAACAAAACACACATTTTATAGTCTTAATAGCACGACGATGTGCTATCAAATAACGCACAATATTACTACATACAACACACAGTATTACTACATACAACACACAGTATTACTATATACAACACATTGTATATGTTAATATAATACAAATACATTACATACACTAACCACGCATATTATAGTATCGTACAACACACACAACAGTTAATTTTAACACGACATACTCTTATACAACACACCTGTTGTTAAAAAACAACACGTACATTTATTATACACAACATATTGTGTGTGTAATACTAATGTGTGCTGTTTATACATATATAACACATGATGATGTGAAAAATCAGCGTAGTGTCATCCCCACGTACCATGCATTAGCTATAGAAAAATTATAATTATGTTATGATAATGAAAAATTAACATAATTATTCCGGAAGAAAGAGTAAAAATAAATACTTCCTCCGTCCCATTGGGAGGGTGATATTTGCTTTTTGCACGTAGATTTTTTAATATTAGTATTATATTGGATTATAGTGAAAAGACAAAAATACTCCTATTAGTATGGTGTAATATAAAAGTGATGACATTTGTATAATATATTGTAAGTTGAAAGGATATTTATTATGTTAGGTATGTAGTACAGTTACTAAATTAGAAAATAGTAACTTTATTTCGGAACGAAAAATAGAAAATAGTAACCTTTGGATGAACGTGGGAATATTTATTTATATTTTTTAACTCAAACTTAACTTATTGCTATGATTAATGACAAAGTTCAGTTTTTTTAATATTAATTCCATAGTCTTGTGTAATAATTCTGGTTACAATTCTATAATTTTAATTTTTATTTTTATTTATTATGTAAATATCATTTTATTTTTATAAATATAACAGTCAATTTTATTGTTATCTTTTGTTTAGTATTTTTAATTTTAAATGTTTATTATATTAGGTATAGAAAAATCATATTGTATTAAAAAAAAAATAATATTTTATACTTTTTCCATTTCAAAACTATGGTCTTATTTGAATTAATACGAGATTTAAAAAATATTGATATTATATTAATAGTGAGTAAAAAATATGAGTAAATTGTTTTTGGGGTAAACTGTTTATTTAGTCCCGTAACTGAACCCTTTTATTATTTTAATCCGTAAGTGGAGCCTGTCGCAAACTAGTTCCATAAGTGAAGAATTTTCGTGTTTTAGTCCTCCGGCGCCGGAGACGCCCGCGTGGCTCGCCGGAGGTGATGTGTCCGCCAGGTCAGCGACACTTGGCGGACACATGGATTTATTATTTTTTTTCATTTTTTTTATTTTTTTAATTGGACCAAATAAAAAAATAAAAAATACAAATAAATTTAAAAATAAATTAAAAATAAGTTCTAAAAAAAATTTAAAAAAATTAAAAAAAAATTAAAAAATCCACGTATCTGTCAGGTCAGCGACACCTGGCGGATACGTCACCTCCGGCGAGCCACGCGGGCGTCTCCGGCGTTGGAGGATTAAAACAGCGAAAATTTTTCACTTATGGGACTAGTTTGCGACATGCTCCACTTACGGGACTAAAATGATAAGAGGTCCAGTTACGGGACTAAAAAAAAATTTACCTTTTTTTTTTTTTTTTTTTTTGCCCTAGTGAATGTATTGGTATAAAAGTAGTGACATTTGTGTAATAATAACAAAAAAATATGAATAATTTTATGGTGAGATGAATATTTATGAAAATGAGACTATTGTTTTTGAACAGACAAGAATGATAAACAAAACTATTGTATTAGGATAGAGTATTAAATTATTAAACTTTTTTTAAGTAAATAAAATATATATTGTATGAGTATGTATGTATATTGTATTTATTGATAATATCAATCGAAAAATATATCTATTTTCATACAAAATAAAAAATTAATTTGTATATCACATATCCATATATTCTAAAGATTATTTATCCTCAATTCACCGGAAAAATAGAATATATATTGTATTATTTCATAATAGAGAAACACAGGCAAACAATTATTATTTCATAGTATAAATATATTTATGTGCAAAAATATTAAAATTTTAATTATTTTCATTGTTATACTAATACAATATTATCATAAAATAATTTACATATTAACATTACATTGTAAATATAAAATTATTTGTATTTATACATTATTATTTTTTATCTGTTGAACTCATATACATTCAATTAATAAATAAATAATTTTATTTATTACAATTTTATTCTTATAACTGAAACTTAGGCACCCTATGCTTACTTTTAGGATGGGCAATCTTATTTATCTCCATAGGGTTAGGGATGGTTAAAAAATCCGAACCTAACCGCAAAATCGTTGAACTGAACTGAGCAAATTCGGTTCGAATACAAATACTGCATATTTGATATTTGCTCGGTTTCGTTCGATTTTGATTTTTGATATTTTTTCGGTTCGATTAACTGAATTAAATATATTTATATATTTATGTTATTATATTTTAAAATTTATATTAATAATTATATTCGACTCAGTTTCGGTTCGATTACGGTACGGATATTTGAAATATTTACAAATATTTTGATTTAATTAGAATTTTTAATTATTTTTTAATTTCGGTTCGGTTCGAATTATTTGCAAATATTGCAAAATTTTTCGATTAACCGAAATTTTCGATTCAAATACGGTTCACGATTTCGAGTATTTGTTCGGTTCGGATATCAAATACCTGCATATTTACAAATATCTGAACAGTGCCCACCCGTACATAGGGTCATGTTTCTACTCATCTCTCTCTCCCTACTGTTTTTTACGGTTTAATTTAATTTTTCTTATTTAATTTTATTTATTTCTTGTCATAAAAATAAAAGTAACTAAAAATAAATTGTGTATTTAATTGAGCAACTACTTTAATAAAATTGTGCTATTGTCCAGCATGAAAATAAAAAAATCTAAAAAAAATAATAAATAAATAATTAAAAAGCGTAATACAAATAATGATTAATTAAAATTAGAATAACTAATGAATTTAATTAAAATTTAAAATTTATAAATTTAAAATTTAATTAAATGTATAATTATTTTTTTAAAAAAAAAAAATTGACCTATTTCTTATATCTATAGTAAAAATCATATCCACCCAAAAATATACAAAATGAACAAACTATGGAGGCTTTGTTCTTTCCTTTTCTTTTTTTTTTTTTTTCTCAAATATTGTTTTCAAAAATATTGATACACTACGTATTAATTACTTTTATATTCCCTAAACGATTCTATACCTCAAGTTAAAAAAATTTCTTATTAAAAGTTAAAAAGTGGTTAAAAAAAATCAAAAAGTCAAATAATCACTTTAAAACAAAAATATTTTATATTTTTTACACATTCAAAATTTTTTACTATTCAAATCTTTTTTTTTCCTCCAAAAATATCAAATCAAACAATTATTATTATTATTTTTATATTATACTACAAATTTATTTTACATTCAAAACTTTACATCAATTTCTATTTATATCTCATCAAACAGCTATTCAAATTTAACTTTTTACTTTTAAAAAATGCAAACCCAAAAACTAACAGCACAAACAAACACACCCTTCATAGCTGCGCAAAAAATGCAAACCCAAAAACTAACAGCACAAACAAACACACCCTTCATAGCTGCGCGTGAACCGAGCCTATATATATAGCATCAAACAATCATTTTGATTCAAATTTTTTTATCAATCTCTCGATGCAAAAAAAAAACCAAAACACAATAATTGTTGGATATAGGACATTAGAAGCACATTTAAAAAAAAAAATTATTATAAATTCTAAAAATCGACGGCCGCGGCCGAGTAACCGAATTATCCGAATCTCCACCCTGAATATCTAACCATCTCAAAAGCAAGACCAAATAATCATACTACAATACGAGCAATAAGAGTGACCTACATCACACAAGAACGACAACCATTCAAACACATTATCAAAAGCTAATAAAAAAATCTTGCTTACGCAAATTTAATATCATACGAAATCCAAACGATCCGAATTTTAACCAGTGATCGTACCTCTTGAGATCTTTGGCGCCATTGCGATCCCCGGAAGAAAATGTTAACACACATCTGATTCTTCCCTAGTGACCATATTTTTGGAATTCCCATTCACTGTTATCTGTGGAAACATTTTATGGATTGATTGATTGATTGATCGATCGGAAAATGTTGTAATGTTATGAACATAGCGCCAATGTTTGGTTGAGAATTCTTACCTAGCGGGCAAACTTGACGAGTCTTCAACCACCGGCTGATGCAGTGAAAGTGGAAGGCATGGTTGCATACACCTGGAGAAAATTTTGATTAGGAAATGTGTTTTTGTCGATTGTGCTAATGCTGACTCAAACAATTGATGAACGAATGTTGTGAATTGATGTGAATCTCAAAATACATACATACATATGTAATTATTAAAATTGTTACCTAAACTATATTGGGTGTGTTTGTTTTGGTGTTTTAAGTGACATGATTCTTAAAAAAATATTATCTAAAAGATGCGATATATGCACAAAACAATAAAAATCAATGAAAACACAGTGAAGTCAACAAAATCACACAGCATTATTCATTATAATACTTTCAATATTCATATACTCATAACAAAAATACTATGAAACTATAAAGCTAAACAAACATATTCTATAATATTACCATGTTAAAACATTTACTAAATAGTAAGCATTCAATAAGAGAGTATTTTACCATCAAATTTACTCTCTTTTTTTTTTAAGTATGTCCGTTAAATTTACCTATTACTAATTTTAACAAAATAAACAAATCAACATTCAGCTTTATCATCTATTCAACAATTATTTATAACAAATGACACTACTTCTATTACCTTTTCTCTCTTCATTTTTTTTTTATTTTATTTTTAACTTAATTTTCAAAAATACCCTCAACTACTTTTTTATTTTTATTACCCTTTAAATAAAATACTATTTGTTTTTTTAATTTTCATGCCAGACCCAAATGTTCTAAATTTACTGGACAGAGGGAGTAATACATTTTCATTCCAAGCATCACATCAAATCCTATTTATATTCAACTTTTTACTATTCTCAAACTCCAAAACCAAGTCTAACCCTTATGGAACCGAATTCTTAAGGTCCATGAAATTTACCAACGACAGTCATTGTGAGATTTACCACTCATTGCTTCTTAATCACTCAAGAGTTTTTATCATTTTTGGGGCAAAGATAACCATTCCAATTGGTCTGGTTGAAATTCCGAATAATTCTCATATCTACTACTATTATATCTACTACATATCCATTTTGAACATATATTACAGCAGAATGCCAAATTAAAACAAACCGAAATACTAAGCTTCAACTTTGCCAAACAACATTACCATCGAATTGGAATAATCGACAATAAATTTCAAATTAAACCCATAGAAACATAAATGCCATTGTGAAAGGGCATGTATATAAAATGTTTTATAGAAGTATTCACAATTGCTCGTAGCATGCATGACTACTCCGGAGCAATATTATATTAACCAAATATAAAGTAGAAATAAGTATACAAAAAAACACAGATTGAAAGAAAACAAAACCAACCAAAAATTATGGGAAACCATACAATTCCAGGTATAATGATCTTCCTATCATATTACCAACAATATCAAGCACGTCGGTTATAAAAATATATATATATATATCAAGCACGTCAATAACAATAACAAGAAATGCAACATGTGTTTGGTTGTCATTTCCACTGTGGATCACATTGTATTCCACCATGGTTGTATTCTTTTGTGGGTTTTATAATAGATTTTTACTATTCAGATTCTTTTCATTAAAAAAATATCACATCAACAATTATTTATATCACATCAAACAACTATTCAAATTCAATTTTTTACTATTCAAAAATCCAAACCCAAAAACTCAAATCCACAAACAAACACACCCCAATTTGATGCTTTTTATGATCTCCAATTTCTATACCTCTTATTTATATTAATAATGTATAAACAATTATTTTTTTATTTATTTTTATTGTATATTCCCCGTGTCATTGAAATTTATGATCATTTTTCTTTTTGTTTAGAAAATACTCTAGTTTATCCTTCTAGTAAAAATCATATCTACTTTTTGTAAATTTTTTTACTATAAAAGAGTACCAACTATTACTAGTTTGACTTTAAAACATATGCCCAAAAGTATGAACATATTTTTTATGACAAGGGAAGTATAATTTTATTTCCTTGCAAAATGGCATCCTATCCATATTGAACTATAGTCTTTGAAAGTTGGAACACCTTAACACAAATTTTAATTGTTTGTTTTAATCAAATATACATTGCATCATAAATCAAACATTGACTAAACACCATATCATTCTAAGCAGTAGAACCTAACTTCCCACTACAATTTAAAATGATTACCAAACAGTCCTAAATAACTAAAAAAAAAAATTATGATATTGTGATGAACATACCCCAAGCAACTGTGCACTCTTCACTTGTAGCACTGGCTTGATTAGCCTGACATTCAATACCTACAACAAAAAATATAAAAAAATAAATAATTAATATATATATATATATACACACAAATATATATGTAAGCAAACACCAAAATTAAGCAAAATTGGGCACTTACAGAGATCCATGATATGATTCCTGCAAATAGCACAATTATCGACTACAATATCTGCATCGGCAACAATTAGGGTTAGGTCTCGTCAAACATCAATAACCCGACCAAAATTCCGCAGCAATCAATTTCAAACAATAATATACATTTAAAAACGAAATCAAAGCTGTGATTTGAACAAATTGCACACCCCAAGCCCAGAGAGCGACGGCGTTCCACTTCTTGATCTCGAATCGTTTCGGTTTCTTCGCAGACGACGTCGGGTTGGAGCTGGAAGGTCCGGCCCCGGAGGAGCCCTCCTCCGCGGGAACCATATTGATATCGGTATCGAGCGACGCCATCTTCGATTTGGCTTCACCTCCGGATTCGGTTTGCTGCTTGATTTCCCTTCGGCCGCCGAAAAAGATAAAATTCTCAAACTCAAGTAAAAAAATAAAATAAAATAGAAATAAAAAGACTGTATTGGGCTTCAATGGAGTTCGTTTTATTTATTAGGCCAAAATTGGGCTCGATGCATTGGCATGCTAATTTTTTATTTTACTATTTCAATTTTTTTTAAAAAAAATATTAAATCAAACGAATATTTTTTATTTATTACAGGATAAATTATACTTTCTCTATCCAAAAATTACAGAAAACTTAAAGAAATATTTATATTATATTGATAGTTGGTAAAAAATACGAGTAAAAAATTCTTTTATCTCTGTGAGTGTGTTAGTGTAAAAAGTAGTAACATTTGTGTAATAATAATAAAAAGTAAGATATAATTTTATAGTGATATAAATATTTATGGAAATTAGACTATTATTTTTGAACGGACAAATATAGTAAACAAGACTATTGTATTGAGACGGAGGAGAGAGTATAATACACCTTTGTATTTTAGTAAAAATGTACGAAATACCTTCTATTTTATTTATTGCGTGAAATCATATGTGTTAATTTAATTCTCATTGTTCAAAATTGATATTTAGTTCTTAAATTACGCAAGTTTTATATAAGTATAAAATATAAAATATAAAATATTTTAAATATTTTTTTAATTTATAATTTTTATAAAAATTAGATAACAATTTGTTTAAAAAACTATAAAATGAAAGATTAATCAATCAATTATTTTTTTATTTTATTCAAAAAAAAAAGTATTTAATATATTTTGCGTTTTTTTAGTTGTATTAAACTTGTTGTATTTATTTAGAATCAAATATCAATTTTTGACAATAAAGGTCTTTCGTGCAATTTTACATTAACACAAGGGATTTCACGCAATAAATAAAATATATCGTATTTTGTGCATTTTTACTAAAATATTTACCCTTTATTATATTACACTAAAATTAATCCTTACACTCAAAATATCACATCAATACATATTTGTATCACATCAAACAACTAATTATATTCAAAATTTACTATTTAAAATCAACATCAAAACTAAAATATTACAAGTAAACACACTCAATTGTTTAGATTGCCATTGGGTTGAGTTTTCAACTATTAGCAATTTTTTGAAATATATATATATATTAAATTTAAAATATATTACATCATAAATTAATTTTTATTAAAATTATTAGATCAAATATTTTCTTTTATAATATCAAATAATTATTTAAATTACAATTTATAGCCTTGTAATGAAAGAATAGTTTTGAATTATCTTGGATTTGTCTAAGCAATATAGGTCTGTTATATTATTAGTTAATAATGACTTTATTTTTTAAAGTTAGAAATTAATTTAAAATTGAACGGTGATTTAAAATTTTGTTTAAAATGTATTTTGATACGATAATTTGTGAGGAAAAAAAATACTTCAACAAAAAAATAAAAGTATTTTAGTCTTTTTATTCTACTTTATACCGATTATTCTTGTGTCAACTTCTAATAAAACATATATTATCAGACTAGAAGTATTTTTATTGAAAATCGTATAAAAAACAAACCAAATTCATATATATATATATATATATATTATACTCCTTTCATCTTATATAACTTGCAATATATAATTTTCGATACTAAAATTTAAATGAATAGTATAAACTAAGGTAATTTAAAAGTTAAATGTATGCAATATAAAAAAGTTAAATATTATACTCCTTTCATTCATTTATTACTCTCACCGTCATGCAAATGTGTGTTCATTTGATTGGGCACGAAGTTTAATAAAAGCGAATAATAATTAAAATTTTTCCTTTATAGTAAAAAACAATACAAAAATAAAATAATTTTTTATTTAAAAAATAAATGAGAATATTTTTCGATAACAACCTAAAAGGGAAAGTGAACATAAATTTGAATAACGAATGGAGTATTTTTAATCTCTACCGTACAATTAAAGGCAAATTTGTCAATTTATAAAAAAAATATAATCACATAAAAAAATATGCAAATATACTTCAGAACAATAGAAATTGAACGGATGAAGTATTATTATTATTTTTTTTTTGTAATGTGATAAAATAAATTATAATTAATTAATTTTATTTAAAAAATATTGTAAAATATTTTGGATCCATAAAAAATAAAAATATTTGAAATAGAGATAATATTATATATATATATATATTATATACGATCATATTAAATATTTAATTTTTTTACATTGTCAAGATTTTCCAACATTTTAAGGTCTGTTTATTTCTTTTATTTCAAGTTAAATCTATAAAATTATTCAGCTGCATGATTGATAAGAATATATTATTTTATTTTAAAAAAATATTAAATCAAAATCATATCTAAAGCAATTCAAATTAAAATCTTAAAATAGGTAGTCCAATAACAGTTTTTAATTAAGACACTTTTGGTTCTGACACTACAATATTTAATATATATATAGTTTCGTAAATATTATAATCCCTCTGTCCAATTTTTATTACTCTAAAGTATATTTTTATAATTTTTTTGGTGATTATCTTTTTGTCATAAATTGACAAATTTGCCCTTGTTGTATGACATAGATTAAAAATAATAAATAAATAAAGGGTAAAAATATAAAATTCATATTTAAAAAATAAAATAGGACAATAGTTATTGTACGTTCCAAATATAAAATTAGAATATTAGTTTGTAGATGTACATAGTATTTAATATAAAAGAATAGACATATTTATTCGAAGATTTGAATTTCAAATTGTTAAAATTTTAAATGCTAATAATTGTTTAATATAATATAAATAAGTACCGTGATATTTTAAATATAATAAATAATTATTTTACAAATTTGAAATTTTAAAATATAAGTATGAATTACTGGGTTTGTTTGTTTTGTAAAATAATTAAAGAGATAATTTATATATATAAAGTATAAAAAATTGTGTAAATGATATAAAAATAATGAGTATATAGTACTCATTTTGTTCTACTTTATTTGTAACTCTTTTATATTTTTGTCCCACATAATTTATCATTTCATTTTCTGAAAATATAACACTTTAATCATATTTTAAAATTTATAATTTATATTTTTGTATTTAATTAAACTATTTAGTCATTTTAATCTTAATATATAATTATTTTTATTAAATAATCAATTATACCTAAAACTCCATGCATAAACTAAAGAAAACAAATTAGCTATAACAAATAAGTATATTAATTTATTTGAAAAATATGTATTGATTTCAGCAATCCAAACAAACCAACTTTTTTTTTTTGGAGAAAGATTACTAATAATAAAAGTATTGGGGGAACTTCAAGGGTTTATTATTTTTAAAGATTTTTCAAAACATATTTTTTTAGAAAAAATAATATATTATATATACTAATTATTTTTATATTATTTACATAATTATTTATATTTTACATTATTATTATTATTATTATTATTAATCAAAACACAAAACAAACACACCCCAAACAATTACAACTAAATTCAATCCATAAAATCTACTATTCAGAATATGAATAAATGTACTAATTGTTTTAGTATTTTAGTTTGAAATATTTTGTTAAATATGAAATAAAAAAAATAAAATTGTATTGTTAATATAAAAAATAATATTTTATTTTAAATTATTAATATTTTTTAAAAAAATATAAATATTATATATATTAGAAATAGTATAAAAATATATTTAATTGGGGTGAACAAATCTACACTATTTGTCTCTCATAAATAAAATCCAAACCAAACAAAGCCAAAATTTCTTTACTCACTCTATGTTGAATCTAGTCTATCTATTTCACCATTATTAATTTATGTCTAAAATAATACTTATTTCGTCTCTTGATAATCTATTAATTTTTTTTATTTTTGTCCGTCTCTATCTATTTCCTTTTTTTTTTTTAGTAATTGTAATATTTACGTAATATTACAAATACCCTTCTAATTTACAATATATTATACAAATGTCATTACATTTATATCATACAATACTAACATGGTTAATTTAATATTTTTACATTTATTTATACTTTATCTCAATATAATACTAATATTTCTAAAATTTCGTGCAAAAAATATGAGATGGAGGGAGTAAATAAATAATGGATATTAAGGGTTTGTTTCTTTTGCTTTCAAATTCCAAATTTTTGGACTCTGTATTTTTCTAAATATATATATCTTTTTACAAAATATCAAATCATGTATTATTTTAATATTAAATTCAAATCAAATTTTTTTTTTAAAAGACACACATTAAGGGTGTTTGTTTGTGGGTTTTAGTTTTTAAATTTAATTTTTTGAATAGTAAAAAATTAAATTTGAATATATATTTAACGTGATATTTTAGATGTAAAATAAATTTATAATATAATTAAAAAAATAATTATTTAATATAATATTTTTTGAAAAAAAAAATCTTTTAACAAACAATATAATAAAACCCACAAAAAGAACAAGGTCTAAATTTTTGCAAAACTTATCCAGAAAAGCCCAAACAAATCGGCACCTGCATCCACAAAATTTCCTCCGCCCCCATCCGCCCCAAAACAGCCCAATCACAACCGTACACGTGTCCGTCTCCCATTGGGCAGATTGCTGCAATCAATGATGGGCCTCCACACCAAAACGGCCACGCGATCAATGAGGTCAGCAACTCTAGACTAGACAGAAATAAATATTCGGAATCCGTTTCGAGAGAGACTCTCACTGACTCTACATCCAACTCTTCGAAAAATATCTCAGACCAATAATCCATCATCCATGTCTCGCGCTTTCCTAATCGCGGCGGTCTTCGTCGTCCTGGTCGCCTGCGGCGTCGCCGGAGCGTCGCCGGAATCGGAGCTCTTCGCCGAGGAAAACCACATCCGACAAGTCGTCGACAACGACGACCTCGCGTCGTATATCACTCGCGTCTTTGCAAACTCGCACCGCGCTCGCTCCTTTGCTCGATTTACTAATAGGTGGATAGAAATTGGTTCATTTTTTTTTTGTGTAGTGGTTGATTTTGTTTGCGATTGATTTTTTTAATTTTTTTGACCTTTTGTGCTCTGTGACTGTTTTTGGTTTGTTGATGAACTTTAATTTGTTTGGTGAAGGTATGGGAAGAGGTATGAGAACGTTGGGGAGATTTGGAGGAGGTTTGAGATTTTCTCGGATACCTTGAAGATGGTCAGATCGCATAACAGGAAGGGGCTATCTTACAAAATGGGAATTAATGGTATATATCGATTACTTTTGATATGGAGGCCTTTTTTTTCATATAATTCATATAAAAATTTATTTGAGATTAATTTGGACCTTTGGTAACTTTGTTTGCTTACGGTGTGTTTGTTGGGGGGTTTGAATTTTGATTTAGGATTTGGACAGCAAAGATTTTGAATTTGAATAGTTGGACGATGATATATAAATAAATATCGATGTAATGTTTTGAATGTAAAATTAATTTTTAATAGTATAATATAAGATAGAAAATATGTATTTGATTTGATGTTTTTGTGTGAAAAAAAAATTGATGAATAGTAGAAATTTTGTGAAGTTTGATATAAGAGCGTAGTATATTACTATTAGTGGATATATAAATATATGTATTGTTCCTGTTGAACCCGTTCTATTTTCTAATCTAAATTTTGAATCTAATGGTGATTAGGATAGAAGAACAATAAAAGAATTTATAACAACAGCATAAAAATCTTTTGAAATATATATATCTATCTATCTATCTATCTAACCTTCTTATTGACCTGTTGGCTGCTGTTTTGGAGGTTTGCGTTTGTGATTTAAATAATGTTTGATGTGTTTATTTGAAATATATATAATATATATTTGGAAACGAGATCAAATAATAAAAAACTGAAAAGAAACTTTAAAAAACACAGATTTTTTTTAATTGTGTTATTGGTTTATAAAACTACAATAATCATCCATAAAATTGATTTTGTAACTATCTAATGGTCGAGATATGATTGAACAGTATTGGATTGTACTTTTCAGCACATGAACCAAAACTTATGAACATATTCCATATCCTACTTCTTGAAGTAATAGGATCTCTAGCTTTAGTTAATTACTTGATTAAAAATAATAATATGGTATTATGATTATATAATTAATCTTTGGTCAAATATGTTTGTGAAAGTCAGTGTTTAGTCTCATCTTCATTCTTGCATGATAAAAATGATCAAAGATTTCCACAATTTGGATCAATGGAGTTTGGGAATGGGATATAAAGCTTTGCAGGAAATTTTCGATTGGTAGACTGAGGTTTTGGAATCATTTAATGAGGTCTTCTATTCTCAAACTGCGATCTGACAAAATTATTTGGAAAGTACGGGTTTCATTGTTTATTATTTCAAAAAAAAAAGAAAAAACTATTTAGTTCGCCTGTCCACCCGACAAAAATATTACTATCAGTTAATGCCATTTCTATAAATGTATCATTTGGATAGTATGGGTTTCTTTGTTTATTATTTCAAAAAAACAAACTATTTAATTCGCATAGTTTCTTTGTTTCTTATTTTTCTTAAAAAAAAAGCTATTTAAGTCGCATAGTTCCCGATAAAAATATTACCATCAGTTAATGCCATTTCTATAAATGTATCATTTGATGTTGAGCAGAATGAGCATCTCTACCTGTAATTGATTAACAAAAGAAACTTATACCACAATTTCTTGTTTTCTGGACAACCATCATTCAAATGAGCAGAGTTTGCTGACATGACTTGGGAAGAGTTCCGTAAGCATAAGTTGGGAGCAGCACAGAACTGCTCTGCTACCACAAGGGGCACTCACAAACTCACTGAGGAAGCTCTTCCTGAATCGGTACTGTCTTTTTTATTTTTCATTTGTTAAAGGAGATTTTTAACTTTCATCTGATATTTGTTATGTCGACTATGTTATAGTACGGAAAAATAAATGGTCTTGGTAAAATGTATTTTTCCTGTTAAAATCACATACATTTCATAGTATCTATAAAGGATTAATGATATTATAAATCACGGGATCAGACTTGTTTTCTATTCAAACACGCGACTATTGCCCTGAGTTGAAGGTTCTTTTTGAACTTTTTTGCGATTCTTTTATGTCATAACACTTCAAATTTAAATTTCTTTACCATATCCTGCTAAGTTTCAAAAGTCGAGTTTCTTTAGCTGTAGACTTAATTAATGGGTTGCAGAAAGATTGGAGGAAAACCGGCATCGTCAGCGCTGTAAAAGATCAGGGCTCCTGTGGATCTTGCTGGACATTCAGGTGATCTCAAATTTGATCAATTAATGGTGTTCTGGCCTCGTCTCATATTTTGATTAGATCGAAATTCCAGAAGCACTGCAACTGCTCCTATATTCATTGTTTTACAATTTACAGTACAACTGGAGCACTGGAGGCAGCTTATTCACAAAAATTTGGAAAGAACATTTCCCTGTCCGAACAACAGCTCGTTGATTGCGCTGGAGCGTTCAACAACTTTGGCTGCAATGGCGGACTCCCCTCTCAAGCCTTCGAATACATCAAATATAATGGTGGACTCGAAACAGAGGAGGCATATCCGTACACTGGCAAAGACGGTGATTGCAAATATTCATCTAAAAATGCTGCTGCCCAAGTGCGCGACTCTGTTAACATCACCTTGGTAAGATTTTAATTTTTTTTTAACTCATGTCTTAACCATCAATTGTTTAGCTGATGCCAATGTTAACTGAACTGTTGTCGTAGGTTAGCATGCGAATTTACGATGTTTTGAATAAAATGTATTTTTTTATATATATATAATATATTAAATGAAAAATAGGTTTTTGATTATGTATACGATCGATTATTTAAACTATAATTAGCAATTTAGCATGCAATGAAAGCTAAAATTATTTAAGCTTGTTTCTTATCTTGTCAATGGAATCTCAGGGAGCTGAAGACGAACTTAAGCACGCAGTGGCATTTGTTCGACCGGTCAGTGTCGCTTTCGAGGTGGTGGATGGTTTTCGAGCATACAAAAATGGAGTTTACACCAGCACAAGTTGTGGAAGCACTCCCATGGTAAGTTCTTTGTATTTTTCATAAAAAAAAAACAATTTTATTAGATCATTGTTGCAGACAAATGTGATTTGGTAAGTCTTAACAATTTTATTTGCATTAAGTAGAGCTCTTATACAACCTTCGTTCCACGGGAATCACATTTTTGTGCAACATTTTTTTGTAGGATGTAAACCACGCCGTTCTCGCGGTTGGCTATGGTGTTGAGAATGGCATCCCGTATTGGCTGATAAAGAACTCGTGGGGAGCTGACTGGGGCGACGACGGCTACTTCAAAATGGAGATGGGGAAGAACATGTGTGGTGAGTTTCTTTGGCTATGTTCGTTTTTGTTTTGAAGGTTTTAATTTTATTATTTTTTAGACGAAAATAGTTATTTGATTTGATACTTTATATATATAAAATAAATATAGTTTTATTGGCAAAAAACAACGCAAGAAGAAATAAATGGATTATGAATGAGTGTATATGACAATAAAATATGATTACATATTTTTTTAGAGTGGCAATTTTTTTTTCGATTATTACTAAAACCTCATGGGAGTCGAATGATTTTGCAGGTGTTGCGACTTGTGCATCCTACCCCGTTGTTGCTTAATCCGTTGGTGAGGAATAGATGGCATCCGTCGCCAAAAATATCATGGTAAGTACACTCTCCTGCTAAGGTATTGAATGGTATATCATTAGAAATTATTCTACTTCGATCATATGATGAATTGGCTTGAAATGTGTGTGTAAAATAAGGGGATCAAATTAAATTTTATATATCAAAGATTGTTCTAGTTTTTAGTTATCTCTATTTGTTGTTTTCGACAATTAGTGTTTGGGTTTTTTTTTTAAAAAAATATATATAAGGATGGTTTCGTGTAATATTTTACATGAAAAATAATATATTAATATTTGAATAAAAAATACAAAAAAGAACAAAGTAAATTATTTTAATTCTAGGACCGGCTTTATTTGTTAGTTATACATTCATGGAATTGGTATTATGATTAAAATTAGTTTCGAAATATTGATCCTTTCAAGAAATGCCCGTGCATAAGTTCTTATCTTTTCACCAACTTTTTCATATAATTTACGAGCTTTCATTTTTCATCTTTTATTTTTCATATTGATATTGAAATATTCATCCACAGTATTTTTAAATTTATAAAAACACATCTCTTTGCATGATTCGTTAGTTCTTTTACGTTTGCTCGTGCTACTACTTGTTGGTTCTTCAAATTAACGAGTATCATGATTAATCTTTTCTATCAAGTCAAAGTTATCAATGTCAATTGGAATTTTTTTTTTTTTTTTTATGTGTCTATATTGAATGACATATTCTTCTCCAAGATCACACGCTTAAGTAGATGTTGTTCTATCCTTACCAGATATGATACATAAATTTTCATAAAACGGAAATAGTTTGTCTTAAAAATTTGTAGTACTTTTGTGAGACTATTAGACAATTAGAAATTAATTTAAACTAAATATTATTTTATAAAAATATATATTTTAGGAGATAGGAGTTAAGAAGATTTGCATCTAATAATTGTTGAATTGTGTTGAACTCTATTTGAGTAGTGATGCATGTAAATACATCAATGCATCAATCAATTTAGTATCTTTCTCCTTTGTCCAAATATGTTTGTTTCTCTTCATATTTTTCATTACATTTGAATCTCCGAGATCTACATATATAATAATAATAATATTTACATACATAAATATTTATATATTCCATAAAAAATACTTATCAATATTAATTTAAAAAGTATAGTAATCAAACTTTATCGTTTTATTAAAAAAAAAAAGCAAAAAAAAAAAAAAACACATGACAAATAATAAGTGCATAATAGATAAATAAATAAACAAATAATAAAAAATATATTTAAAACAAATTAATTATTACCATGTCTAACATTTCAATTGTAAAAGATTTCATTAGCTAAGATTCTTGTCTTATTTAGACGATTTGTATATCATTGTGTACGTATTCTTATAGTTGAAATAGAGAATTTAAGTTTTATATTCTAACATAGATATTATTTTTATTTTATGTATGTATATCGACATACGAGATTCAAATGTAATGAAAAGTATCGAAAGAAGCAAACATACTTGGACAAATAAGGAAGTGCTATGTTGATTGATGTATTGATGGATTTAGGATTTACATACATTGAGAAAGTATGCCGGATTTAAATCAAACTATTGAAATGGAGTTCAACAATTACTTAGCTATAAGTCTTCTTAACCCTCAAGTAAAATAATATATAAACACAAGTGGATTTGGTTGGAATGAAGAAAAAAAAATTGTGTTGTTACTAAGACCCGTGTTTAAGATGAATATGTTCAGATATCTTCTAAATATATTATTTATATAAAAAGAAAAAAGAAAAAAATGATTTGGAAATAAAGAATGAGAGAGCCGCTGCCCAACACTTCTGATACAAAGTTGTTGTGACTTATTTTGCTACGTGTCTCAATTTAATTGGAGCATGTGGCAAAAAAAAAGTATATTATTTATTTTTTTTATGTATTTTAATTAAATTATATGTATTAATATTTTTATATTATATAAAATTTTATTTTTTAAAAAAAATATATCAATATTAATATATTTTTAAATTAAATCTAATTAATTATTATGATTAATAAATATTAACATATTTTATTTTAATTATATATATTAATAATGTTAATAATTTTATATTTTTTAAAATTCTATTTTTATAAAATAATATTGATATTAAGATATTTTTTTAATAACATTTTAATCAATAATAATAATAAATATATGTTATAATTTATAAATTAAATTATTACGTAAATAAATATGTATATCAGATAAAATAATTATTATTTAAATTATTTTAAAAATAGATAACTTAATAATATAGAGGAAAGAGAAATTAAAATCGGTGTAAATGAGTTTCTTTGATGAAGGGATAAAATAAAATGAGTTTATTCGATGATGTGGCAGAAAAAGAATATGACGTGGAAGAGATGAGAGATAGGGAAGAAACCCATGTTGGGTTTCATTGATGCGGATGACCTAAGCTCACAAAGGTGCTTCCCAATTTTCAAGGCAAATTAGTGTTATTCTATGAAAAATTGTGTATCATATTTGGTAAGGCCATCCACAACACAGAAACCCATCCAGGGTTTCTTCCCATTCTCTCTCCTGTGCCACGTCAGTTTCTCTCTCCGCCACGTCACGAAGAACTCCAACTATATTTTACATTCACATCAAAGAACCCTTTAAAATCTTTATTTTTTCCACCTCATTAAATATTTTATCTATTTATAAAATAAACTTATATTTTTTCATTATATTTTATTCTTATAATATTTAATTAAAATAAAATAATTATTTAGCATAAATAAATAAAATAAATAAAAATAATAATTCCACACCCACATACTAATTAAAAATTCAAACTTAAATTTAATAAAAAATACATAATATTACAATATATTTTTCAAATAAATTAATTAGTCGATTGACCAAATTTCTCCCAAATGTGTTCAACTAAATCCGCTTTGAGCTGGTGGTGTGTTTCTCTAGCTCGGAGTCGCATTCTGTTCCGTAGGTATTGATCCATAGTTGCATGTCTCGTATTGTTGTATGACCAATTCGAGTTATCATTTGTCTCCACTTGATCATATTGAGATGTATCGTAATAATGCACATAAGTGTCCCTTTCATCTTCTACAATCATATTATGTAATATGATGCATGCTCTCATTATTTTACCTAGTAAATTAATATCCCAAATAAGTGATGGAGTTTTAATGAAGGCAAACCGAGCTTGTAATACACCAAAAGCACGTTCCACATATTTTCGAACCGCTTCTTGATGTTGCGCAAATAATTGTGCTTTATAACCTTGAGGGAGACGAATCGATTGAACAAAGGTTGCCCACGGAGGGTAAATTCCATCAGTAAGATAATATCCCATATTATATTGATGGTTGTTGATAACAAAATTAACCTCTGGAGCTCTGCCATTCAAAACGTCGTTAAATACCGGAGATCGATCAAGTACATTAATGTCATTGCATGTACCTGGTGTGCCAAAAAATGCATGCCAAATCCATAGATCGTATGAGGCTACAGCTTCCAATATAACTGTAGGTTTGCCATGATCTCCACGTTCGAATTGGCCTTTCCAAGCAGCCGGATAATTTTTCCATTCCCAGTGCATACAATCAATACTTCCTAGCATGCCTGGAAAACCACGTGTCTCTGCAACAAATAATAATCGTTGTACATCAGTAGAATTTGGTCGTCGTAGGTATTCCTCACCAAATAGAGAACATATCCCTTCAACAAATTGCTTCAAACATGCCCTTGTGGTGCTCTCTCCAAGACGAAGATATTCGTCAACAGTGTCAGTAGCTGTGCCGTATGCCAATACACGTATTGCTGCTGTGCATTTTTGTAATGCTGACAATCCATCTCTTCCTGTAGCATCACGCCGTTGCTGAAAGAACTCCATTTCATTGGAGAGGCGATCTACTATACGAAGAAAGACATGTTTTCTCATTCGAAACCTACGACGAAAATAAGAACTTGGATACACGGGGTTATCAGAAAAATAATCATTGAATAATCGAGTATGACCATCTTCACGATTCCTCTCTATGTATGTTCTCCGTCGACGTTGCCGTGAGCTTCCCTCATCTTCATTGTTGATATGCTCAATTTTTTGATACAATTGAGCATATGTTTCTGCCAATTGACATATATTTTCCAACTCTTCGTCGGATGAATCGGACAGAGATAAGGATGAAATTGACATTGTTTTGAGAGAAAATAAGATATGAAAGGTTGAACTATTGTGCATATGAATTGTGTGCATGTGAATTGGTTACATATATATAAATTAGAAACTAGCCGTTGGGAATATAGCCGTTGGAAATATAGCCGTTGGGGAATATAGCCGTTGGGAATATGGCCGTTGGGGAATATAGCCGTTGGAAATATAGCCGTTGGGGAATATAGCCGTTGGGAATATAACCGTTGCAATATTTACTATAAATACACTACATTCTCACTTCATATCATCTACACCATCTCTTTATAATCTTCTCTCTTCATTTTCTTCTCTCTATATTATCTTCTAAATTTCCTACGAATGGATCCCAACTCTCAAAATTCATCCAACTCTCAAGATCCCCAAAATTCTTTTCGATTTCCAAGTTTTATGAACATGTTAGGAAATCAACCCATATTCCCTACATCTAATGTCCCATTTCAACCATTCAATCCTTCACCATATTATCAAATTCCTCCAAACTTCTATCCTCCAAACTTTCAAGCGTTCGGAAGTTCATCATCTCCTCAATTCATGATGCAAGCGAATGAAGCAGTGGGCACCCCACAACATTGCACACCTATCAATTTAGCAGATGATGATGTGCCTCACAATTCAAAAAATAAAGATACGAGGAAGGTGTGGAGCTGGAATGAAGACGAACTTCTAATCAGTGCATGGCTGAACACAAGTAAGGATGCCGTAACCAACACTGACCAACCAAGTAGTGCTTTCTGGAAAAGAATTGCAACGTACTATATGGAGAACAAGCCCGAAAGTGCAACGAGCAGAGGTGTTACTCAATGTAAAAATCGTTGGAGTAAAATATGTAAGTCAGTGCAAAAATTTGTTGGGTGTTATGAGGAGGCCAATCGAAACATGCGCAATGGACAATCAAGCACGGATGTCCTCAATGCAGCAAAGAAAATATACTCAAATGACGGTGAGAGCAAAGACTTCGTCCATGAAGATGCTTGGCGTATAC